TGAGGCAGCTGGCTGGGCCACTCCGGTTGTCCGGTTTTACAGTCTGGACCTTCCTTCTGCACCCAGCACCCGTGTGCTCTCCTTCTAGTCGTGCCTACAGGTTTTTGCACGCTGTGGGGGCAGGCGGAGGCTTCGGCGTGGAATAGTGGGTATTCTCGTTCCCATAGTGTCGGCACCAACGCAGTTCGAGTTCCCTCGAAGGGGAACGTCTCGGGTTACGTAGCGTCAGTCGGCCACACCTCGCCCCGTCTGGAGTGCCTTGCTTCATAGCAAAGAGCTAATGTGTCTGGTGTGCCAGCGTGCTTATATACGCCTCTAGTTACGCTGTCACATGCTACCGTTCTAGCAACGCCAATATGATTGGAGTAGTTTCATTCATGATTTCAGCCCTGCCAGGCTGTTCCCATAGTGTCGTCACCGACAAAGTGTCTCGTTACATACGTAACCCGAGACGTTCTTATAAGACAGAATGTTGGTTCCAGCCATTAAAAGCTTTTCAGTTCTCTACAACTGTTGCAGCATGAATAAATGTAATGAGAACAGTGCTTTGTTGTCCATGGATAGGGTTATTGTTAGACTTTGTAGTAATTTTGTTTGGTGTATTGTGCCTATTTGTTATTAATGCTTCCTAATTAACTCTTTCTGCTAGTTATGTCACCTCATAAAATGTTAAAAAGCAAAAACAAAGCAGTGAATAATGCATGCTGTAATAGTTTAATAGTTTAAAAGAAACTTTGGCAAAAGTTCAATAAGGAGAACTTTGCCTATATTTCTCTAAGGGTTAATGTCTGCAATTCCCTGCTGTTCGATCTTTCTCAATCACTTTTGCTTTCCCACTCTGTCAAATGCTCTACATTCACAATTCCAACATCAGGAGACTTGTCCAATGATCCGTCTGTATTCCTCAAGCCAATAAGTTGCTGGTAACTGTTTAAATATTATTGTAATTTTTCCATTCTGTCTTTCCGACCTACAACACACCTCCTGTCCCCATCACCACTATGACCTCCAGGATGTCCATGGAGACTCAACTGAAAGTTTCCATCAACCACCTGCTGGCTCTACTCCACTACCAACAGAGTATAGACTCAGGAGAGATCCTGTCCTATCTCCTATCTTCATATTAACCTACAGTAGCTCACAAAAGTGAGTACACTCACATTTTTGCAAATATTTGATTGTATCTTTTTGACATCTTATGTGACAACATGTAAGAAATCACACTTTGCTACAATGTAAAGTAGTGAGTGCACAGCTTGTACAACAGTGTAAATTTGCTGTCCCCTCAAAATAACACATCAGACAGCCATTAATATCTAAACCAGTGGCAACAAAAGTGAGTACACCCCTAAGTGAAAATGATATGATATTGAACTACTGTTTGTCAGGAGTGGTGGGCCTAGAAATTAATATATTGATAATTTTCATTTGTTTCGCTGCAAGACAAAATATGATAAAGCTAACGGTTCAACCACTCAACAACCTTTAAACAGTACACAGGAGATAGCTTAACATATCACATGCTGTAACTTCTAGTGGAAAGATTTACTCAATATTTACTGAGCCCATCAGTGACGGAATAGGCTGTTTCTCATTATTTTGAAAATGATCCATAGTTAAGTTAGCATGAAATTTGAAATACACAGGAATTTATGAAATGGGAGGGACTAATGAAAAGGTGCTTCTTCCTTTTTTTGACCACTCTGTTTTTGTGGCATGGTTCCAGGGATGGCAATGTTAGTCAGTCCCCCAGTTTGGTCCATAAAATATCTCAACAATAATTTGATAGATCAGCATGAATTTGTGTACAGATATTAGTCCCTGGAGGAGGAACCTTAATGTCTTTGTTGATCCCCCCAGCCTGGTGTCATCAAAAGGCAAATTACACATCATAAGTAATTTCGGATGGTGTTCCAACACATTCTTTTGCTTTTTGCAATTCATTTCACATCGTTTTGTCTGTATCGACGTCTTTGTGCAGAAACTGCATACCATTTTACACGTATTATCACGGGAAAAAACACCCGGTGTGGGATTTAAATAGCCATGAAAGGTGGTGATGGGGTGGGGAGATGGATAGTAAGTTGGTCCCTGACCGAGGACACCAGTGTTCCGTTTCCGTGTGAAAGAAAAATTACATAAAAAGACAACATTCATTTTTGGTTTTTATGAAAGTTACATAACATACATAAGTTACGTGACGTCATTGATATAGCTATATAGCGTTATAGCTACGCTGTCCCATCATGAGTTTGATATTTGTGGATTTGAGTAAAATGTCACACAAAAATTTTATTTGGAATTCACATTCATATTCTTCTTAAGGTGGATTGTTATAACTTTGCTGGTAACTCAACTTTTCACCTAGAACCATCATCAGATCAAAAATTTTATTTCCCTAATTCTTTCCCCAAATACATGCAAAATGAACTGTTCCCCTATGTAATTTACTGTCATGACAGTAGACTCATTGTATTGTAACAGAAATCTGCATTCCAAACTGTGGTTGTGTATTTTGAAAGATGGAGAAGTGTAAGTTCAAGGGATTTTGGTGCCTGACACATAGAGACTATAAGTAAGTATAATCTGTGCTACATCAATTGTTACCATTTTTTTTTTTTAATTGTCTTTCAGAAATTCTTCAACTTTATGTAAGTAAAATCATTTGTTGATCTTTGGTACTCTTAAGGGATTTATCCAAATTAAATGTTAAATATAACTTACGGTGGACACTGGTCAAATTATCTTAAGTCATGGAGAACAGCTCATCAAAATTAGACAAATTTTGGTTCAGGATCCCACTAATGAGGCACTTCACTGCCTTACAATGAAAAGCTTCACAGTAAAGCTTTGTGTCTTTTTAAAATTTATTTCAAAAGCCTCTAATTTATCTTGTCTCGTATTTGGCAGCCTTATAAAGTGAGTGGGCACTGTAAGGGTTCAGTGTCTTCCTCAAATACTCTTTAACAAGGGATCTAGTCGCGGTTTTTGTACTCATTAATTCCTTTAGGGGATCAAATCTGTGACCTGTAAGTATTATAGACAGTACTCTTCCTGATCCAGCCTTCTCTGGATTTTGTCTGTGTCAGCTCATGTTAATGCTGTGACAATATGAAAGAAAAGATATGTCTGGACATTGTTTAATAATAAATTATAACATTTCCATGCATTTAGAGGACATCAATCTTCTCCAATATCGATGCTACATGGAACAGCAGAATTATGTTTCATTTGTTGTAGTTGCCCATGCATTCTGGGCTAGCCTTCACAAGGTAGTGAGACATCCAGCTTTGAAAATGTACTTTATGCACACAACCTTAAGCTGAGTAGTGGCACTGTGTGTTTGGTTTTCTGGCATATTACCTCATTATTAAATGCCGTTGTAAGAATTATAGTCTTTTGACTGAATTCATATAAAACAATGTCATTCCATTATGTGAATAGAATATGTGCAGCAATGATATTTGGAATCTAGACTCTGACCTTGTCATTACCCACAAGGGTTTTTGTAAATAGTGATAATAGCTTGGGTAGGTAACTTATTGCAAAAGCATTTTTGTTTGTAATATTTGTTAAAAGTATCTTTACATCCCTACACCAATCAATAAATCAAATGCTCTGACCAAATGAAATGATTGACTGGCCTACTGCCTTCATGCTTACCTGTGCACTTATTGCACAGGATATGTATTTTGTGAGAGTGGCTTTGGGGTGAGGCTTGAAGGGAGGGGTGGGATTTTCTTTCAGTTAGATACTTTGAAAATACTGTATCTGTATCTTGCTATTTTCCCAATGTGGCCCACCCCAGCTTTAAGTTAAAGAAGAGTGAAGAGTACTTAGTCCCCCACTGGTTGAGATGGACATTATGGAGTTAACAGTGTGGGGACACAGCAGTAAATAGACAATGATTTGTTGACACTGTACCTTAGCACAATATTGAGCTAGGTACTTTTGAACATTTTAGATTGTGTTGGATCATTTTGAAAGAGCATTAATTATTCAGGTTGAGGCATAAAAGCACAGAAAAATAT